TTGTTTAATAACCCTATTAGTCCAAAGATGAATTTGCATGGATATTGTTAAAAAAAGTGGGTTTGATGGACGAAGAAGTTGTATTCTATTTATAAGAGCTTTCAAAATTGTGTCCGATAAAGATAAAACCGAATTACAAAATTTGTAATAAATTTTATATTTTATTTTTATGGTAATGTATTAAAATGTTGTTGGATTTTGTTTTTGCAGATAAAAAAACCAAGATGCTAAGTTAGAAAATAAAAATAAAAAATAAACCAGCAAACACATCTATAAAATTAAGAAAGAAATCGGAAAAAGTGTTAATGTTTAAATTGAAAACATATAGAACTATGAAAGATGAGATAGAAAGAAGTTTAGGCAAACATGTTATTATAGCCTAGTTGAAATAATTTTTTTTATGGATATGTTTCATCAAGTTGGTTTTATTATTGGATACGTTTATGCAAGTTGGTTTTTACTGTGTATGTTAATATATTTTATTTTCAGTCTCCAACATCCAGTGACTCGATCGATGAGGATGAGTTGTCAATAGAATATGATATACTACGTCTTCAATATGAGCAAGGACATCTTGTTGATACAACTGTATTAGAAATGATTTGTGAGTATCAATGTACGAAACAACGAATGGTAATACCGGAAATCCCATTACCACCTTCTGCGGCCGAGGAGCGGAGAAAATCAACATTGTATAATATGCAAATGCTCCCCATTACAATGTTTGAAGATATAAGACCATTTTGTGAACACAATGGACCTTATCGAAGAAGCACATAGGACAACTCCAACAATAGAAAATCAAATCCAATTGACTGATAATGGGTTCAGCCTAACTGAAACCAACATAAAATTGTTTGAAAATCATGTAGACACAGCTAGTTTGCACCAGATGCAAGTTCTCGGTTGTCCTATAAATGTAATATAAAAATTAAATATTGTAATGTCTTTTGAAACTTAAATATGTAAAAGGATCGGTAGGGTTATCTAAAATGACAATGATTTTCATTAACATTAGTATAAAGATCTTTACAAATCCTAATACATACTTATATTGGTTTCCACAAATTTGGAAATTGTTAGGGATACATATTTTGTTTGCGGTCAATAAAATCCCCTCTAATTCTAACAACATATGTTAGACGGTCTCGTTCTGCACGAAGCTTATCAATCTCCGTTTTCATCTTAAATCCACTTCTCTGCTTCTTTGAATCTTTCATAGCTTCAGCAACCGATTTTTCTTTTTCATTTACTTGCTCTGCTAGATCGTCTGCACGTTGATTTAGTGTTCAACTTGTTTCAGAGTCTCTTTCGTTTGCTTCTTCAACGCCCTTTATAGCTTGGAAAATGCCACCACACCATTTATCTAGGAGTGGGAAATCTGGGTCTTCCGGAAACAGGTTAATATCTGAACAAACATAGCAATCTTTTTCTTCACAATATCAAACACCAAAATCAGATGAACTCATTCTCAAGTTATTTCTATGTTTACGATGCATGCTAGCTACATATTAATAGTCAAACCCTTGCTCTAAAACGATTCATATTCCCAATAATCGTGGACTAGGATCTGTGATGATCAGTTGGAATGGGTATGATTGGTTTGTAGGTATCTAAGTTTGTGATATATTGTTTGATAAACAATTGGTTTTGCAGGTTTGGTAATTAAGGAATATTATCATAATAATATTGTGGGATTGAAATCCATATGTATCTCACCAGGTTTTCCAACCTGATCCACTCAGTTTGTATGCATCATGGGTATCAAGACTTAAGCTACTGAAACTTGATGTGGATGTTGAGTGATTAAGAGACAGATTGCAACAGTGTTCAAGATCATTAGGTATTTATGTTGTCACTTATGTATCTATATTGATTATGACATCCTTAGGATTTTATTTGAGGCAAACTTGTTCTCAAAAAGATTTTATATCCTGGGATTTTCCGCAAACAATAATAATACAATTTTTAAAGCGTAAAGAAAAGTTTTTTTTGTTATGAAAACTAGAGGATGTCACACAACATCAGTTTAGCAGTTTGACCATCTATATGAGGATAATAGAAGGACGAAAACAACAAATTTGTCTCTTGAATTATCAACAAAGCTTACAAAAACTTACTTAGGGACACCAAAGCATCAACTCTAACATACATCAAGTTCGATGATAGTCGACTCCACTAGTAATTCCAGTCATTTCGAGTTGGCTAGAAAAGTATTTACTAATTTACATCTTCTTTCTATTGTTAAAATGCTTATGTTATTTTGGTTTCATTCGTACAATGGTTTTATGAGAATTTATTTTGTTTGAGACTATTATGCAGTGGAATTAACACCACCAACGAGGGGTCTCAAAGTTGCTTATAATTAACAATATTAAGTATAAAAACAACTGTGTTATTTTGGTATATTGTGGGATTCGTATAATGGGGCGATGATCGAGAAGTATGGCCCTAACACCGCTAAGCATCGACCAGTGGGTTATCCGGGTGTACGGGACATGTTTTTGCATGAGAAAGAATTCCAACTTTTCAAGGTATGAGATGCGGATCCAGGGCCGACTCAACCAGTTTGGGGGCTTTAAGCGAACCAAAAATTTGGGGCCCTTTGACATTTAGTATATTTGTTATAAACCCTTCTCCTTTATCCGGGCTTGAGACCGGCAATAATAAACTAAAAAGTTTACAAATTGCGGAGTTAAAATTTTTTGTTTTTTATGTATATATTTTTGTTGTGAACATATTTTATGACATAAAGTTAATTTTTCTAACCTTTTTAGATGCAAATTCTTTAATGAAATTTTCATAATTAATTTGTTTTACTAACTATTATTCAATTGACAAATCATATAACATAACAAATAAGAAACCTGATTCCAAATTCCAAAATCCAACTTGACACAATTAATATTAAAAAAATTAAGCCCTATTAACCCTAATAAAAAAACAAATTTATCTCTTTCTTTTGTGAAGAAAATAAAAAAAAATCTAGCATTACTACAGAATCAAAAATAAATTACATCATATTGTATTATTGTATATCAAACAAATTTAACTTCATCAAAATAACAGTACTCTATTTGGTGTAGTGCATCAAACAAATTTAACTTCATCAAAATAACAAAAATTAACATAGATAATAGATTATCAGCTTTTCACAAATTCTCAAACCACAATCATAGATAATCAGAGGAAAAATCGAAGAAGAACAAGAATGGAAGAAGAACTTACTTTTCAAAATTCAGGAATCACCAAATCAATTGAGTTCTTGAGTCTTGACACTTGATAGCCTTTCAGAAAGAAGAAGAGTAAATTACACGAATGGTTCCTTTGGTTTGGGGTAATTTGCACGTTTGGTCCCTAACTTATTTTTTTAACTCGGAAGGTCCCTGTTGTTTGTTTTTGTTACGCGCTTGGTCCCTACTGTTTGTTTTTTGTTACGCGCTTGGTCCCTATCTTACCTAAAAAGACTATTATTTAAATAGAGAAAAATGGTGTGGTAGGTAAGGTAATGTGAGAGGGGTGGGGTTGGGGTGTGTTTATTTAAATAAATTAAAAAATCAATGGCAAAATAGTATTTTTTTAGGTAAGACATGGACCAAACGCGTAACAAAAACAAACAGTAGGGACCTTCCGAGTTAAAAAAATAAGTTAGGGACCAAACGCGCAAATTACCCTAAACCATAGGGATCATTCGTGTAATTTACTCAAAGAAGAATCAAGTCAATCAACAATGGAGGTAACCACTTTTTTCTGATTTTTGAACAATCAAAAAATCAGATTGAAGAATAAGAATCAACTGATCAGATTCAAATGACAGAGAAAGAAGAAGAATTGAAGAACAATCGTTGAGTCCGTGAGTCGCATTCAATAGATAGCATTGATCGTTTGGTTAATTGGTTTCTACAGCCGATGTGTGCGATTTGCGAATGGAAATTGGAGAATTTTAATCGACACTTAATTATTCCCTAATTGAGGTTTGGGTTAAGTGGGACCCCTTAGAAGTGGGGGCCCTAAGCAAGGGCTTAATTGTTTACACACTAAGGCCGGCCCTGTACGGATCCTAGATCTGGGGTGGCAAGGAGCATGCTGAGTGTGACCCAACCTCCTAAGGCTATGCCATATCTCAACATACTTACATATTTTTATCGATAAAATATGTAAGTACGTCTCTATTATAGGCATTGTACTTTATTTGTTAGTTGTTATGTGTACAAATATGTAAGTATGTTGCTATTATGAATAAATAGTTATGTTGCTATAATGTGTAAGAAACATATGTGTGTTGATACAATGGGTTACATATTGCTATAAACTATAAAGAAATGTAAGTATGTTGCCACCATGATGAAATAAAAATAAAGTACAATTACCTATATTGGTAAAAAAGAGTAAAGGAAAAACACCTACAAAAACAAAGTGAAGATTTCGAAGCTCGTGTCCTCGCTAGGTGTTATGGGCTTGTCTCCACACAGTCCTCAAACTAAGTCAGCCCAAATGCGGAACTCACAAGGTAAACTAACAAAGTAAAGCAAGCAAGAACAAGCTAAATGGAAAAGCGAATTATATTACTCTTGGAAAATGTTACAAGAGAGAACTACATAAGTAAATAGATCTATACAAATGAAAGAAACCTATCTATTAAATGAATTGACACTATTCTATATATTTACAATGAAAAATCTACATAAAGCCTGTACAAGATCCTTCCCCCACTTTCTTAATATGTGTTCAGTCCTCATGACATTTGTAGAATTTTTTTCAGAATCTTGGTTCACCTTTCATATCTAACTTGGTAGGTCTTAACATCAGGCTCAATGCACAATATATCACACCCCATTGGTTGCTTTCTACACATAATTTGCTTGCAAGAAAGTGTACGTTTCTTTTTTACTAAATCTAGAAGTCAGGAAAATGGTTTTCCTTATCAAGTCCGAACCTTTCATAACTTGTAGATGGAAATGACATTTTATCCTTCCATTTATCCACACTTTAACACTTAATGGAAGAAAAAAAAAAACATGGCCTAAATTATACACACATACATAGTTCCGGTTTATAGACAAAATTTAGTGAGGCAATAGCAGTATAATCACCTCATGAAAATTATACAAGAATTGTAAAAAGCGCCTATGAAATCTATAATCTTTGAACAAAAAAAAAAATGGATCTTTAGTTAGCCCTTATATCTTGAAGATAATGAGCGAGTTGCTGGACCCCAATAAACAATGCATCAGCAGCAATAACAACCCCCACCTATGAAGTAGACATGTTGAGAATTTTTAGTTTATAAAGTATAGTTGAGTGAAATGTGTTTGGAAAAAGATTGAAATTAAACTTGTTACCAATCGAGCAGAAAACATTAGCTTGTAACCCCAGCCCTCCTTTGCAGCTTGAGCTCTTTGCTGATCAGTCCAACTGCATATTCAGCAAATTGGAAGCATTCCACAATATGATCAAATTCTTGTTATATAGCATTTATTTACAAGGAAAAGATTTGGAAAAATGAGATGATGTTTGATAGTAAGTTACCCAAGAAACTCTGAAACTCCACCAATTCCAGCAAGCTTAAGGGGCTGAGGACCTTCCCTTTCAAGATCCTGCATCAAACAAGACTTAATTACACTACCAAATCATGTTTTTATGTGAGGGAAAAAACAGGACTAAAGTGTTTCTCTTGCTTTGAAATTAAGGATTATAATTTACCTCTTCTTCAGCAGCCTCTAGACCTCCTTGAATCCAGAAAACGTTTGTATAACCAGCATTGTATAGTTGCTCACAGGCAGCTAAAGACCTACAACAATTTAGCAATACGTAAAATATCAGATAAATGGTATAAATAATTATTCTTGATTAGCATAAATCAAATAAATGGTATAAAACTCCATGACATGAGTTCTAGAAAGACGTTCACCTTAATCCCTTTTGGCATGCGACAATAAGGTCTGTATCTTTTGGGAATTTCTCCATGACTTTTGAAACAAATTGTCTGTTGAAAAGAGAAAAAATTGTAACAAAAAGATTATATTTTTCAAGATTGATTATATATTATCCATGGTTACAAACAACTCAACACATACTTATCATAAGATAATGTAGGCACGCCACTCCACCAACCTCCTGTTGTCATACAAGAAATATAGGTAATAAGCACCTACAAATAACAAACTTAACCAACTTTCCTCACTAAAATTACTAATTTGCCCATAAACTGATTAGTTGACTAAATGTGATCGTTGACAAAGCTGATTAAATGGGTACCCATCATGTAACTTGTGACCTTCCGTGAAAGAGTTCCAGCATCAAACTGAGTATCGACATCAAAGATTGGGATCCAAGTTGACCCTTTAACCCATGCCTTCAAAACAATCAACAACAAGAAAATAATAATGTTGCTTTTGAAATTTAACTTCGGCTACTTGTATATCATGTGTATATGATGATGAAGAATGGATATATGAACATTATTTCACCTTTTCATGCTCTGTAGATGGACGAACATCAAGTAATGTTTTGCCAGAAAGTTGAATGGCGTATCCAGCTTCCTTTGGTGTAAGCATTTTCACTTTCTCCTCCCTTACCTTCAATAAACATGGAAAAATGAAACAACACTTTGAGTTGAAATCGATGGAAGGTTAACATGAGAAGTATTGCACATTCTTATCACCACCTACCATCGTTAGCTTTGAGAATGTAATACTAGTAATTCATAAATAGGACCCACAAAAGCTTGAGTATCCAAGAACCCTTATCTAAAATCTTTACACATGTTTTGCATACAAACAGCCAAACAGGGGAAAACATTAAGGTATGCATATGAACCCTCTACCTAAATCTTCAAACAAAGATGCAATTCTGAATGCGATAACTGACCTACGATGCCAATCTTCCACAAACTATGCAACAACATCATAGTATTTAAGAACCCTTAACGAAATTCTTCATACAAATTTCGCAATTTTGAACTAAAAACCTAGTAAGAACTTAATTCAGTGGAAATACCAGGGCCTCCCATCTCTTCCTGGCTGCAGCCATATCTTTCACTTGCTTTAACTCGTAATCTTCATCGACTGCTTGCGCTTTTATGATCCCCTTGCACTGGAATTTTCAAACACTAGAAAGACTCAATATACAATTTTTATAAGAGCCTGGAAGTTGTAAATTGCGAGAAAACCGATAATGGAGCACAAACATACGCTGGACTTAAACTGAATTTGGTGAAGGGGTTTGTGTTTCAAAGACGACGGGTTGAAGAAATGAGTTTTTCCGAATCGGTGGTTACTGTAATGCTGATAGTTCCTGGGATTAGAGGGCGTTGAGGTGAGAGGTGAAACTGATACACCAAGAACCTCCATCGTTGTGGAAATAAAAAGATAGCAGAGTGAGAATTTGATGATTTATCCGGTGAACCAAATATATCTAACGGACATGCTAAACCCGGATATGCTGATCTGTTTATTTTCCTGAATTATTTTCGACACTTTTTTAGTGTTTTGAAGTCAATTACAAAAATCTCCTGGCGGTTTGATAAACGTTGCAATTTTGCTCCAACTGTTGGAATGTTTTGCACATAATGTCCTCATAGTTTCATTCTGTTGCAGTTTCGATCCAACTTTTTTGAGTTTTTTCGCACATGCAGTCCTGTTAGTTTCATTTTATGTAGTTTTGGTTCATGAAATATAAACAAATAGTGATTTTATAGTTAGCTAAATACATTAATACAAAGTTGATGGTTATCACTTATTTGAAAGAAAAAGAGTTAAAAAATAACTATTTATATCTATTTTCTCAAAAGAGATTGTTGCATTAAAATGGAATACAAGTAATTTTTTTTGCAATCAGTCAACGTCATGTGTTACGTCTCAGACGAAGTGATTGCGAAGAAACACACAAAACGTGGTGGAATCGAACTCTTAAGGGGAAAACGTTGCAGATTTTCTCTGATTCTTATGGAGTCGTTATATATATTTAAATCTGAATCCATTGCCACGTTTCACTCTACTTTCAAAGTTTCACCTGCAACCACCAACCCTTTCCAGCGCCGCTTCTATTCCTCAGTAGGTTACTCAGTTCTCTACGGATTATAACAACTTAACATTAATTCTTGTTCGATTGATTCGTATTGCTTTCGGTAACGCCTGTTTGAGTGTTTTCTTCAGTAAATTCGACTTCGTTCGTATGTATATATGTATAGTTGAAGCGAAACTTTCATTTCTGGATCAGTGTCTTTGTGGATGAATTCTATGTAGTTTTGTTGATGTATGCTTTACTGTTTTATTGATCACAATTCTCAATTTCGTGTTTAATTTTGTGTTTATGTGCGTTTTATCAGAACACAAGAGCGAAGACTTTGACTTCTGAATTGACTTTTAAAAAGTAAAACTGCAGTGAATTTGGGTCAAATTGGACACTGTTTCGTTCCTTTTTGTTGAACTTGTTAGGAATTTTAATGCAGCGATCAACGTTTTTAGGAAAGTTCGGTTTTTATATTTTAGTATGCAATTCACTTTTTCTACCGATTACAACAACTTGACAATGATTCTTCTTCAATCGATTGTTTCCTATTCCTGCAGTTATCAATGATACTCAATTTGGTGCTTAATTTTGTGTTTTTAGAGTTAATGGGTTGCAAATTTTCAAAGAGGGCTGTTTCAAGAACGTATTCATCATATAGCTCGACATCAAATCCATGGGCTTATCCACAATCACCATATCCTCAATCGCCATTTCCTCAACCACCAGTGACCCAATCATATGCTTACCCTTCGCCTTATCAAAGCTATCCTGATCAAGCTCCTACAGTTAAGAAGAATCTTGAGAGAAAATACTCCAGAATAGATGATAATTACAACAACTTAGAGCAGGTAACATTATCATTATTTTAACTTAAACTTCTCTCACTCTCAAGTAAAGAGGAAAAGGTTATGGCTATTATGGGTTTTTTTTTTTTTTTTTTTTTTTTTTTTTTTTTTTTTTTAAAGTACATTGCTATTATCCTTAAAAATAAGTTTAACTCATCATTTTTACTTTACTCAGGTTACTGATGCTCTAGCAGGTGCTGGTTTGGAGTCTTCAAATTTGATTGTTGGTGTAGATTTTACCAAGAGCAACGAGTGGACAGGTTGAGTTTAATCTTGGACTATTTCATATACTTATATACATTTTTGGAGCTTATTTAGAATAATTTTATTTTTGTAACATCGATTGTTATTAGGTGCAAGGTCTTTTCATCGAAGAAGCTTACATCACATTGGAATTGATATGAACCCTTATGAAGAAGCAATATCAATAATTGGAAGGACATTAGCTTCCTTTGATGAGGATAATTTAATTCCTTGTTTTGGATTTGGAGATGGTATAAAATCGAAATTTATGGTTAAATTTGTGTGAGTTGTTAAAAGTTATTGCCACTTATATGTGATGTTGTGATTTGATAGCTTCAACTCATGATCAAGAGGTGTTTAGTTTCTACCCGGATGACAAATTTTGTGATGGATTTGAAGATGTTTTGAGACGGTATAGAGAATTAGTACCTCAATTGCGGCTTGCAGGTTAAAATTACACTTTATTAGTTTTGTATATAATAATTTATATAACTGTAATTAAATACTATATAGACCAGTGTTAAAATTTTCATATGAAAATTCATTCCACTACTATAGGTCAACCTAACATGATCATGGAATCTAATGACTCATTCCATTACCTTAGCCATTCCATTTCATTCAACCAAACACCCCAATTTATCTTTTCTTGCATAAAGCTTTCTTGTGAAAATTAAGAGTGGTGAACTTCCTTTCTGCATCCAAACAGGGCCCACATCATTTGCCCCTATCATTGAAATGGCAATTACCATTGTTGAACAAAGTGGTGGTCAATATCATGTCTTGTTGATCATTGCCGATGGCCAGGTAATCTTGATTAAAAAAAATATGCTCATTTTCTAACTTTCAACTATTTGGTTACCACTATTGTGCACCTATCTATATTGCTAAAATGCACCTTTGCGTACAGGTCACAAGAAGTGTTGATACTGACCATGGTCAACTAAGTCCACAGGAAAGGAAAACTGTTGATGCAATTGTGAAAGCTAGGTACATTTAAAACAATCCATTTTTTAGGTTTTCACATATCTTTGACAAGTACTAAACAAATTTATTATTATTATTATTTTTATAGCGAGTATCCATTGTCAATAGTATTAGTTGGGGTTGGAGATGGACCATGGGACATGATGAAGGAATTTGACGACAATATTCCTGCTCGGGCTTTTGACAATTTCCAGGCAAGTTTTATTTATTTATATAATACTCCATTTTACAACTATTTCTCTTTTACTTAATGCGGAAAGAACAACTTAATAAATAAAGTTAGTGAAATGAGTGAGTCCTAACTTTTTATAAATTTCTACTAATTTGTTTTTTCCTTCCATTTTACCATTCTGAATATTTACTTGTTTTGTCGATTTTAGTTTGTAAATTTCACAGAAATTATGTCGGCGAACATGGATTCATCTAGGAAGGAAGCAGAGTTTGCTCTTTCTGCCTTGATGGAGATACCTTCACAATATAAAGCAACACTTGAGCTCAACATACTAGGGTGGGTGACTTCTCAAAACTCTTTGAAAAAAATATAAAGTATGCATGAAATAGCATCCTACTTACATTTCTTCCTATTACATCTTCATACTTTAAAAGTTCTACCCAATTATAGCAACATCATATAAATTCAAAGCAATTATCATTGAGATAATTGAGTAGAATTTTTAAAGTACGATGCTATATTTGGGTAGATTTCTATACTTACGATGTAATAAGAAAAAAACTGAAAGTACAATAATATAATAGAAAGAAATGATAGTCATATACTATAAATAGTAGTAAATACAATAAACAAATAAATAAAAGTACATTGCTATTTCTTGTACTCTCTCAGTGCTCGTAGAGGAAATGCTATAGAAAGGATTTCGCTTCCACCACCACGTTATGGTGGACCAAATCCTTCACGATCCACTACTTTCCAACCAACTGTCAAAACAAGAGAAACATCATCAACTCATACAAATTACCATGGGACTTCTACCTCAGATAATAATGTAAGTCAATCTATATAATACAAAACATACCCTCTTTTCTATTCTCCTAAAAAACAAGTAACCATTTTTAGTTTTTTTAACTTGTTTCCAAAAATATTGTGTTACAACTAATATGAGTATGAAATGTCCTATACTTTTGCAATAAAATCTATGATTAAATACATATAAAGAGAAAAAGAATTTATTGGTGAACTAATTTTACCCGAGATTACACCTTTAATTTACACATTCTTTGCAGCTTTGTCCCATCTGCATAACTGCTCGAAAGGACATGGCTTTCGGCTGTGGGCATCAGGTACATTTTCCACAAATATATATAAACCTACAAAATAATGAAATACAAATTAATATACATTTAAGTAAATTAACTCATGATTTCTTTCCTTTTAATATTTTCAGACATGTTGCGAATGTGGCACAGACCTTCAACTTTGCCCTATTTGTAGGAGTCACATACAAACCAGAATCAAACTTTATTAAACACCAGCCCCCATATTTTCTGTTCATATTCTTTCTCTTTAATACCCCCAAAAAAATTGCAAAATCTTAGGGTAAGCTTTTTTTGGGATCTTGTAAATTAGTTGCATAACTTTAGGATGTATCATATGCATTTCTTTAACCAAAATAAATTCATATAATTAATTTCACTCTACAAATACCATACCCTCGTCCCTCAAGATTATTATCAATACTCCCATGGGTGGGACACGGGCCTCGTGTAAACCACTCGAGTGCTTCATACTTTTTCTTTTACTTTTGAATTGCGTTATATGTAGTAAACGTCCACATGAACTGGGCCAAACCGGGCCCAACCCGACCCGGTCAAAGTCCAGTCAACACGGGTGGAATTGGAACCTTCTCATGAACAACACGGGTGTCGTAGCAATGCACATGGCAGTCACCCACCACAATAAAGTTGTCATATTTGATCAAACCAATGCGGGCCCATCTCAGTACCGTTTACGAAAGTGCAAGGCCCGGGGTGGGTCCCGGGAGTCCTCGTGTTACGCACACTCGGTGGAATATAATATAGTGAAAAACAAAGTGCGGGCCCTACATCTTGCAACAGACACGTGGTGCTCATCAGGTTCGTTTTTGAGTAATGGAACCCTACTACAAACGGGTGGAAACGGGTCCGGGTCGAAAAAGATCCGGTATTATAAACCATGTCAAAATAACGGATGTGATTGGATGGAATCAAAAAAGGAGATGTTTGTTAGGCGATGGTATGCTTCGAGTTTATCTCTTCCAAAGGAAAACAGTGTTATAGTTGTCGGGGGACAATCGGCGTTTAGTTACGAATTTGTCCCTAAAACTTCGAATAAACCATATGATCTCCCGTTTTTGCATCGTACGTTTGAGCGAAATTCAAAAGGGAACAATTTATACCCGATTTTACACTTATCAAACAATGGACATTTATTCATTTTTGCTAATCGGGATTCGATTCTTTTCGATTATAAAAAACGTAAAGTCGTAAAAAACTTCCCAAAAATCCCGGGAAACGGGGCCCGCAGTTACCCGAGCACAGGCTCTTCCGTAATTCTTCCTTTAGACTACAACGACAATTTCGGTAAAGTTGAAGTTATGGTGTGCGGTGGTGCAGCCCGTGGGTCCTACACTGCAGCTCAACGGCGGCGTTATCTGACGGGCTTGCGTTCTTGTGGAAGAATGGTGATCACCGGAAACCGCCACAAGTGGCGGATGGAGAACATGCCCGGCCCACGGATCATGAGCGACATGTTGGTATTACCGACCGGTGATATCTTGATAATCAACGGTGCAAAACGAGGGTGCGCTGGATGGGGTACCGCATCGGATCCGGCTCTCGAACCGTATCTTTATAAACCGGACAACGGGCCAGGAAAACGGTTTCAAATTTTAAAGAAAACAAAAATCGCGAGGTTGTATCATTCGTCGGCAGTGTTGTTACCGGACGGGCGGATCTTGGTGGCTGGTGGGAACCCGAATAACCGGTACATCATGCACGGTGTGACTCACCCGACTGAGCTCAGGCTACAAGCCCTAACCCCGGACTATATGGATCCACAGTTTGATGATCTCCGGCCAAAGGACGTAATGGTCATTTACCCACGAAAAGCCCACGGTGTGGAAAACGGTCACATTTTTAATGTTACTTTTGGCCTCACGAATGATTCCGGGAATTTGAGTGTGGTGGCATATGCACCACCGTTTACGACTCACTCGTTATCGATGAATCAGAGAATGTTGAGACTTGAGTGTTTGGGTTTGGAGAGTGGTGGTGGTCAAGATAGGGTTCAGGCGAGTGTGGTGGCTCCTCCTTCGATTTATGTTGCACCACCGGGTTTTTATATGTTGACGGTGGTTAACGGTGGTGTTCCTAGTAGATCTTCGTGGCTTAGGATACTTTAGGTTTGTGGGTAAAATGTCGCTACCCACTTCCCTCTTATTTCAACAGAAACACATCAAACTTTCTTTTTAATGTTTAAACAAATATTTTGTAGGGGGTCAGAAGAGTTAAGTGTATTCAAATGTTGCATTATTTTAAGTTGTGTTATTAAAAAAAAATGTAAAGATTATATTGATGATTTAGTTATGTCGTCATATTTAATACAACTGTTATTTATAAAAGTTTATATTACAATTAGATTTTATTTTATTAAAGATTAAATAAAAGAAAATTCATAACTTTTTTCTACAAATAAAAGATGTAATCTAAGCAATAAAACGGCATTGACTTCGATTGGTCATGCTTAAGCAGGCAAATGCCCATTCAAACTCTCCGATTAATATATTATACTTTTTTGTTTTAATATTATTATTTTCAGCTGTATTTTTTTGTCTTATATGAGAAGGTATAAGAATATTAAATAAGTGGTCATGCGTATTTTTTATTCTCTTACCTTTACGTATGAATATCAATTTCTATTCATAACATACTCTGAAAGTTTACTTCAATTTTTTAAAGATTATCAGTTTAAATTGTAATACTTACTATACGGAATGGTACAATACATTTGAATGTGGGTAAAACTAAACAAAATACTATAATCCGATATAAACATAAAAAAAGAATGTGCGAAATATAAATAGGTTTGTTCAATGTGAAAGATATTTTTTTGACAAAACTTCAAAAATGGTCCCTGTGGTTTTTGAAAATATCAAGTTTAGTCCCTAAGTTCAAAAAACCTCACGGATCGTCCCTGTGGTTTCAAAACTTTTAACAAATGGTCCTTTCGCCTAACTCCGTCAGCTTTCTACCGTTAAGTGAGGGACATTTTCGTCATTTCAATACCCAGTGACCATTTATGAGGTTTTCTCTATTAAAAAAAAGAAAAAAAATATAATTATTTAATAAAAGGGCCCCTCTCTCTCTCTCTTCTCTCTCTCTCTCTCATACACACGATCATCTTCTTCGTAAAAAAAACCCAGATACATTTCACACCAACAAACACACTTTTAACAAAATTGGAATTTCGATAAATGTTATACAAGGACGCCATAGAGTTAGATCGAGATGCTTAATCTCCAATTGGGTATCAGGTAAAAAAACATAATCTGATTACCATTCTTTCAAATCCTTATTCAATCTGTTTCATATTTCATCATCTTCATCAAAAACTTTGATGGGTTCACAAGGATTTATCAGGTTAAGACTATCTCTTCCTTCTTTAACACCACAATAGTATCAAATCGTTCAGGGGATTCCATTTTCCATTTACAATCTGTACTGAAAAACACCATGACACTAGAATCAGCCATTCCCTTTTCTATTCATAGGAAATGGTTTATTGTATGATACTAACAGAATCGAATTTAGTTGATTCCAAGGGAGGGTAGCATTACAAATTTATGATAGAGAGGCAGCTCCTACGGTGGTGGCGGCGACGGTCTGGCGAGAGCAGGTCTCTCCAATAATCTTCGAACAAGGAAGAAGAGAAACCGTTAGGGAGAGAATTCAACAACTCTTTTAAGCAGAATCGATGTTGTTCGCCATCACCCCTTCCAACCTTGGCTCACCGGAAAAACGAAGCACAAGAATGGGGACTGCCGCCTCAGATCTAACCCCCTCTCCACCTTTCCAGTCGAAGCTCAACCCCCAAACACCCTGCTTTGATCGGCGACTGCAACTGCCCCTTCCCTTCGAGTTTCACTGCCGGAATAGCCCAAGTCAAAGAAGGGGGTGATGGCGAACAACTTTCCTCAGCCTAATCCATCAACGTTGTTTGTACTTAGACTCGGTACCTAACTCCACCCTTTCCAGAGGCATTAACAAACACAACAATCAACGAGAATGACAAGGATCGGGTGGCTGGAAGCTGCTTCAAGTGAAACAAGAGAACTGTTGTTTGTTTTTAGCTCTGGCGAAGAAGAATAGGCGAGGAAGGAAAAGTGTGTGTGAGAGAGAGAGAGAGAGGTGGGGCCCTTTAATTAAATAATTATATTTTTTTCTTTTTTTTAATAGAGAAAACCTCATAAATGGTCCTTGGGTATTGAAATGACGAAAATGCTCCTCATTTAACGGCAGAAAGCTGACGGAGTTAGGCGGAAGGACTAAACATTACAAATTTTGAAACCACATGGACGATCCGTGATGTTTTTTGAACTTAGGGACTAAACTTGATATTTTCGGAAACCACAGGGACCATTTTTGAAGTTTTATCTATTTTTTTTGTCTGTAATATGTTAATTCGTTGTATTGTTTTTAAGTTACTTGTGGTCCTTGTGTATGTATATGTGCGGACTATGCATATGCACTAAAACAAAAAAGAAAAAGAATTAATGTGAAGTAAAAGTGGTCTTTTATTGTAACTATAAATTGTTTTTCCCTGTTTTATAGGGGTGCACGATTGAGAGTTTATTTATGTTTATTTTACAGTGATCTATAAAATTTTTATTAGGTAAAGACCATTTTTCTATTTTTTATCAACATATAAACCATAAAACATACTATTTAAAAACATTGATCATTATATATATATTAAATCCAAATGAGCTTAGGAATAGTACCTTTTTAGGCTTTAGGTTTTTGTCACAAAAGTTTACTGAATTTGACACTTTTAGTCCCTAAAGTCAAAATTTTTACATTTTTGCCTTTTAATTAAGTTTTTATGCCTTAAGGTTTTTGCCACAAATCTTTAATGACTTTGACACTTTTAGTCCTTGCAGTCAAAGGTTTTACATTTTGGTGTTTTTGCCACAAATCTTTAATGAATTTGACACTTTTCGTCCTTATAGTCAAAACTTTTACATTTTGACATAAAAAACACAGAAAACTTCCTTTAAAATTTTGCCACCATATTTTCCCAACTTTAACATTATTGCCACAACATTTTTGGATTTTCTCCACCAATGTCCATTCTTTTCGTTGTACACTTTTGACATCTAATTTTAGGGGTTGTCGACTTTCTCCCCTATTTATGGTGATTTACAATTTCAGCACATATTTTTTAAAGTTTGCCGATTTTTTTCATATTACCCCAAAAGCGGCGTAGCCGCGGGTTCTTTACTAGTATATATTAAATCCAAAGGAACTTAGGAATAGTATTGTTAGGTGCATTTCATGTACCCATTTTGTAGCTTTATTTCATAAAAGTACATTGCATATAGGCTTAAACTCATGCATTTTGCATGTTTTTCGGGATTTTTCATGAGGCAATTTCATTCAAATACTTTTGTGATATTTCAGGGACTTTTGGAGGTAGGATATTGTTGGAGGAGGTAAATAAAAGTTGCAGACAAAATTTCAGGACTTGCGGAGCACCGAGGAGCAAGATATCAAAGAAATGAAGATTTTGGCTTTACAGAGATTTATACGGCCGAGTAAATGCAAGCCTTGCGTTTACGCGGGCCGTGTAAACGTAGATTTCTGCACAGTATATTTTTGCGTTTACGCGGGCCGTGTAAATGACAGTGTTAATTTACGCGGGCCGTGTAAACGTAAATGCGGGTTTTAAAGCAGTTTTTCACCATTTTTAAAGGGGGGAACCGACTTTTTACTTTGGGGGGGTCGACTTTTGGAGTAGAGAAGGCGATTTTCTTGAGGATTTTGAAGTTGATTAACACTTGGGAACATTTGATTTCATTTTGTAAGAACTTTAATTTCATTTTCTAGATTTGTGATATTGTTCTAGTCATGAGTGGCTAGAACCCTAGATTCTCCAACTTTATGTCTTGACTTCTAGTTGTGATTTCAATCATATGACTTGATGTTTTCTTTCAATTTTCTATCTAGTGAATTTGATTTTGTTTCAATCGAATGTTTGATTCTAATTGTGATTCTTATTGGCCATTTGAATTAGGGTTAGATCATTCAAGTTATCTAATTGCAAAATCCGTAATTGTTTTGTAAATTGGACTAGGTAACAAGCACTAAACTGATTTCTATTGAATGAATTTAGTGTAAATCTTATTCACACATTCTTATGCTCCCGAGCTTATGAGGAGTATTGAGTGTTGTTGGGAACATTCACATAAAGTTTAATGCAATCTTTCAACCTAATTCTAAGAGTTTGTTTAGATTAAATTGGTAAGGTTAGGATTAATCAAAGAGCTTGTTTTGGTTAATTATTGTGGTGAATGGGAAGTGTTAGAGCTTGTTAACACTTTTAAGTACCAACTTAGATAGAATTAAACAAATATCTTGTCATCCATGGAATCACATTGCTAATTTGTCTTGCATAGAGTTGGAGTACTTACAAATCTTGAACTTATTTCACTTAATCAATCATTTACTTATTGCTTTATTCTATAGTTTAAATCATTGCTTATAAATTCCCCCCATTCTGTGACCATTTTTGTACCTTACGCAAAAAGGTATAAACACTTGTCCCGTGTCTCTGTGGATCGACCCTACTTACCTTGTACTACGTTTTTAGTGCATAGTAGTAGTGTTTAAGGAGTCATTTGTACCCTTTATTTGTTGGGTTTGACACGCCTAACAAGTACCTTTTTAGGCTTTAGGTTTTTGCCACAAAAGTTTACTGAATTTGACACTTTTAGTTCCTAAAGTCAAAATTTTTACATTTTTGCCTTTTAATTAAGTTTTTGTGCCTTAAGGTTTTTGCCAGAAATCTTTAATGACTTTGACACTTTTAGTCCTTGCAGTCAAAGGTTTTACATTTTGGTGTTTTTGCCACAAATCTTTAATGAATTTGACACTTTTCGTCCTTGTAGTCAAAATTTTTACATTTTGACATAAAAAAACACAGAAAACTTCCTTTAAATTTTGCCACCATATTTTCCCAACTTTGACAACTTTAACATTATTGCCACAACATTTTTGGATTTTCTCCACCAATGTCCATTCTTTTCGTTGTACACTTTTGACATCTAATTTTAGGGGTTGTCGACTTTCTCCCCTATTTATGGTGATTTACAATTTCAGTACATATTTTTTAAAGTTGGCCGAT